TACTAAATTTTGATCCCTGAAATCTTTGGTAATACCAATGTTCACTTTGTCTGGTTTTGTTGCAGTATGCCCCATATGTAAAAATTAGTTGAAATCTCCTCTTTCTTTAAGATTTACAAAAGGATCTATATATGAAAAAGAACCAAAAAACAACTGTTAATATTTTAATAATGATTATATATAAAACTTTTTTTTAATAAAATGTTGGTCGAATAATCCAATAACTATAGCTTGATATATAAATACAATTATTGGAGTGGAATGGACCTTTGTACTTTACTAATAGAATCATCAAAAAAAATGATTTGGTATAGTAAAATATAATTTTTTATTATACGATCAGTTCAAAACTGCAAAAGTGTTGATATAATATGCACATAATACAGGGAACACTAATCGTTAAATATTTAGACCGATAATAATAAAATAATAATTAATATGAATTACCAATTCTCTACAACCAGCCACTTGCCAACATTAATCTTTTTGGATTAAATTTGGAATTGCTTGACCAATGATATGCATAAGGTAAACCACCAGATATCTTATTTGAGGTGTTTCGATATCCTATACATAAATCATTCCATCTTGAGATCCTAGTATCAATATTCAATTAATAATTATATGTAAGTATAGTAAATCAATATATATATATTACCCGAAAAGATAATCAGGTGTAAAACTTCAGGTGAATCATTATAAACAACATGGACTTAATAATCTTGCAAGTATTTCCATTAAAGCATCTATTATATAATACCGAGGTGTTAATTAAAAATTTTTTGCAATTAAACGGATTATTTAGCCAATCAAACTTCCCTGCAACAACTGTATTTGGAATTTCATGAATTTTCTTTATTGGGTTAAATTACACCAAGTTTAAAAAATGCACTTCTATATACAGTGCGGATCATCTATACTCAAAAGTTAAAAATTTTGAAATATTACAGTGCGGATCATCTATACTCAAAAGTTAAAATTTTTGAAATATTATATGATCCACACATTGGATTTTAAAAAACTTACCACCATTCAATTCAGCTTTAAAAGGGGAGTCTATTAATCTAAAAAA